ACCATACTGTGCCACCAAAGCTAGCAACAATGGCTGAGTCATATATATTTTTTCATCAAGATCACCATGAAGAAATACCGTCTTTACATCCAACTGATCTAACTCCAAACCATACTGTGCCACCAAAGCTAGCAAAATCCGAATCGAAGAATGCTTCACCACCGGGGAGAAAACCTCATTATAATCTATTCCTTCCTCCTGTGCATAGCCCTTCGCAACCAACCTAGCCTTGAATCTCAACGGAGTGCCTTCAATGCCCTCCTTCTTCGTGTATACCCACTTGCAACCAATTGCCTTCCGCCCCTTTGGAAGCTCAACAAGCTCCCATGTATCGTTCTTATGAAGAGATTCCATCTCCTCCTGCATAGCCACCTGCCACGAATCAGCCTCCGAACTCTGCTCGGCCTCTCTGAAAGTAGTAGGTACCAACTCATCGATACTCTCCACCGGAAGTGCATACGCAACTGTGTCGGCATACCGTGCTGCATCTGTATGTTTCTTCTCTGTCTCCTAGCCGTAATAGAATCCTGAACCTGAGCCGTCGGTTCCTGATCCTGCACATTTGTACTCGTATCCTCCGTGTCATCGTCGTGCTCGCCTGACGTCACCTCAGTCGGCACCTGCATGGATACTGTACCATCTGGACAATGTGGAGCTGCATCGATCTCCACCACCTGCGATATCTCCTCCGTCGGGTCGCTCTCCACCTGATGAGAGCTGGGAAGCTTCAAGATAGAAGCTTCATCAAACGTGACGTCCCTACTCAGCACAATCTTCTTATCAACTGGATCCCAAAGCTTGTATCCCTTGACACCACGCTTGAATCCTACAAATATGGCCTTCCTAGCTCGAGGTTCCAATTTATCAGTTTTAACATGATAATATGCAGGGCACCCAAATACCTTGAGCTGGTCATAATCGTGTGCTGGCTTTCCCGACCACATCTCCATAGGGGTTTTCCCCTCAATCGCAGATGAAAGCAGCCTATTAATGAGGTGGCTCGCATATGTAAGTGCCTCAGCCCAAAAGATCTTCTCCAAACCACTCTGCGACAATAAGCATCGGATCTTCTCCAGTAAAGACCAATTTAATCTCTCTGCCACCCCATTCTGCTGCGGTGTATGACTAACTGTGAAGTGTCTCTCTATGCCCTCGTCTCGACATAGCTGCTGAAAGGGGTCAGAAGTATACTCACCACCGTTGTCGGATCGCAACGTCTTGATCTTTCTCCCAGTCTGCAGTTCCAATCTCTTCTTCCACTCCACAAACAAATCTAGGACTTCACTCTTCTTCGTCATGGTGTACACCCAACAACGCCTAGAATAGTCATCTACAAAAGTGACGAACCAATGTCTACCACCAAGTGATGCAGTCTTGGTGGGACCCCAAACGTCTGTGTGCACGTAGTCCAGGATGCCCCTCGTCTGATGAATGGCAGTCCCGAACTTCACCTTTGTCTTCTTGCCAAGAACACAGTGCTCACAAAACTCAATCTTCCCACTCTTGGCTCCCTTCAATAGCCCCTGCTTGCACAATGCCTGCAGTGACTTTTCACCTGTGTGCCCCAATCTATAGTGCCAAAGTCTGATCATGTCCGCTTCTGAAATAGCCGAAGCAACCTGGCCAATCTCGGTGCTTCCCTTCAGATAATACAAATTCCGATTGCGGACTCCCCTCATCACCACCAATGATCCCTTAGTAACCTTCGCTACAGCGTTTTCGAAAGTCACCTTGAATCCCTTCGCCTCCAAAGCTCCAACTGAGATAAGATTTTTCTTCAGTTGAGGAACAAATCTCACCTCCTTCAACTCACGGACTACTCCATCGTGCATCCAATCCCAACAACTAATTGATTCTCTTGTAATCCTATAAATATCTCCTAATATCAATGAAAAAGGCTATGCCATTATTCAGCAATTTCAATACTTCTACACCATGTACTGTATAAAAATGAACAACAATAGCAACAACAACAACATCAACAGAAAAGATTTTATCTGCAAGTTTCATATTGCATACAATATAATTCTTTTTCTGCTCTATCAGGCCATATCCTCCTTGGCTATATTATTAGAAACGTCCTACTTTTTACTCTGCCTACCTTAATAGTAAAGACATGAGAATACAAACTGATTTGTCGTATTCTTATGTATTGCCCCAAAAAAATGATAGATTTATTACTCAAAGATCTATCTCCGTGCAAAACAATATAGATTGGTGCCCGGGTCGAGTCGCAGTGTGATAAAGTATATGTTGCAGTATGTGCATCTTCAATTTCACTATGTTAACCACCCGATTTTAGTCTGCAATCGCAAATACTTTCATTACATTTGGTAATGTTGATAAGTTTGAACTTATTAGTAACATAAAGCAAGAGCTATAACATGTATGAATAGAAAGATACAGAAACCACATAAAAACTCAATTGTCCTGTTCTCCTCCAAAGTACTTTTTCTCTGTGATCAGCGTAGTTGTTTCCACGCAATTACACAATAATTATAGTGAAGCATGTTGCGCGCAGCGGAAATTTCGGCAGCACTTCGGCAGCACAACAAGAGTTAGGTCGCAATAAGAATTCTTGTTTCTCAAAGGAAACAAGAATCTGAAGCCTATATCCTATCAAAGTAGGATATTAGCTCTTCCTCTCGTCAGCTCTAGGACTGCGCGTCGAGGGACCCTAAAAGCTATTACAAATCACACAAAAGCAGTACAATCAATTTTTACGTGGTTCGGCAAATTGCCTACGTCCACGGGGCAAGGAAGGGGGAGATCTACTAATAGAGGGAGAGAATACAACTAGGGTTTACAATCACTCAATCTAAACCCTCAAACAAACTCTCTCAAATCCCTCACAAATATCTCTCTACAAAAGGCTGCACAAAACCCTAGAAGAGACTGCTCAAAAACAAAACAAAAGTCGCCGTAAATTGCACGTTGCAAAAAGAAAACACAGCCGACTTTTAAACCCTCTGCCTTTGAACTCCTGCAGCCGCACAATCAATTAACCTCCTTCGCACGAACCCCTAGGGCAAAATCAACTGGCTATATATATAGCCTGATGAGGTATTCGGGTGGGCCGCGTCCGACTTCACGCGGAAAAGAAAAGCAAAGGCATCAGGCTCACACGCGAAAAGAAAGGCATCAGGCTCACACATGGGTGGCCCCCACATTCACACACATTTAAGTTTTATTACATGGCAAAATTATGTTTCTTTTGCACTAATTGCTTTTTAACCAAATATTGAATTCGTATTGGAAGTATATTTCCTATAATATAATTGTAAATATTCAAACAATAAATTTAAAGCAGATTTCTTGTAACAAATATTGCATGCAACATATGTTGCTACAACATTTGCCGCAATTTATTTTTTGCAACAAACCAAACATCACCTAATAAGGAGAAATGGGTATGTAGAGTTAAACTTAATAAAATAATTGAGGATAGCTAGCACTTAAATTAGTCGCATGAGCAGCACGTAAAAATCTTTTGGGAATATTCTCACGATTGCTTGAAAGAAGTTAGCAAACTATACTTTTTTTTATAACTTACGGTATATTTCTGCTTCCCTTTGAGACTTGAGATATATAAATATTTTTTTATACAATATGGTACTTAAAATGCAATTTAACCTTCGGTTATTTTTATAGGTTTCTTCAATATATCCAACTGTATTTTTAAATTTGTAGGCTATGTAACTAAATCACCCAAAGAGAAGTGGGTTACTGCATTTCTACTTCAAACTTTTGAGCGAAAATTTCAAAACCCTTCAATTTTATGTTTTTTGCACAAAACAATCTAAACCTAACCCCAAACCAATGGAAAAAAAATGTCATCAACGGCGTTATCGTGATGCGCAAAAAAGTGTAAATTATCTTTATAATTAATTCTCCATTTACCCTAACTTTTCGATATTATGGCTGATATTAGAAGTGTAGACATAGGAGTAAAACTGTTCAAAACATGTCAAAGTACGTGAACGCTTAAACTAACTACTGTCGTGTTATGAAAATTGCCTTAATTTGATTCTTAGCTAGGTTAAGTTTGGTTAAAAACCTCGGTAGCCATGCTGCTGCTGCTTCTTCTTTTTAAAAAAGTAAACCCAACCGGCAGCGCGAGTTGTATGACACAAATAGATGAGAGATTGTTAGAATTTCATATCCGGGTATATATTTTATATTGAAAAGATTAAAAAAAAATATTTCTCACAAATAATGTTATAGTAAAGAGAACCTATTGTATGCGTTCTTATGCCTGCAGCATATAAATTGTAACAATCATTTTTAGTCTAAAATGCAGTTGCAACTGGCTAACAGAACAACCATTTTGAGTCTAAAATTAATGCACAGTTGCAACAGCTTAACAGCTAGCGTAATTAACGCCCTGTGAAACCCAACCAAATTTTTATATTAACGTCTTGGTGTAATAGCATGTTATTCTAATAATCTCCACTCCAACTACAATCCAATTCCGAATGTCTATTGTTAGTTTTAAAATTAAGGAGACAGAAATTCTGAGGCGTGAAACACTTTCCTTAAAGAAATATTTGCCCCCACTTGATATTCAAAGTTGATTCGGGTTAATGCAAATTTTCTTCTTAGGATACAACAGAAAATAAAAATTCCAGTAAGCAAATCTGGAATTTTCCTTAATTCGTTGTGAAACAAGTTTGTAATATTGCAGATGTTTTTTTGATAGAAAAGATTCAGAAAAGAATTGTATTTAGATATCTGAAAACATAAACTATTTATAGGTTTGAGAATGTGCTTCCAACAGTCATAACTTTTCAAAACACCCCTTGGAGCAAATAGCCACTTTTTAACAATTACTTGTCTTTTCATAATTTTTAAAAATTCAAAATAACATTAGAAATAATATATTCAATAAATAATTATATATATATAAAAATAAAACATTTAAGCGGCAGCAGCAGGCGTGCTAAGTGCGTCTAATAATTGCGCTACCCGCACACAGGTTTAAAAGCCTACACTTTGATCCATTATTCAAAGCCCACTAAGCATTCAATGCTTTTAAGCCTCTAAAAGAATGTTCAAAATTTCAATGTGGGACTATCTTGTTTTTTTTTTTAAACAAACAAATACTAACATCTATCTCATAATATACATCCAACAAACGTCACACAAGATTGTAATTCTCAGAGTCGATCGAAAATATTAACCTTTTGTCGACAAATCCCCTCTTATCTCCACTCCTCCATCACCAACAAATCTCCTCCAATACCAGTGTTCCCTCCAAACCCCCTCCATTCTCTCCAACGGCACGCTCTTCGTCTCCGGCAAAAACCAATAAACAGCCACCGTCATCACCACCACCCACCCACCAAACAAGAAGAATATCCCCCACTTCATCCAACAAAGCATCCCGAGGAACCCCTGCGCTATAACAAACGTCGTCAGAAACCCAACCGCCATCGCGATACTCTGCCCTGCCGACCTAATCTCCAGCGGCAAAACCTCAACGGCGATCAACCACGCCAATGGTCCCCAAGACAAAGAGAATCCCGCGACGTAAACGCAAACTATGGCCAAAATAATATAGCTGTCAAATATAATAGGATATATATTAGACATATAGTACGGTATCATACATCTCATTATTCCATATTTTTTTGATAATGATAATTACACTACTCTGTCTTACATTATTTCTACACTAGAAAAGAGCAAAGTGTGAGCTATCTTGATGAGTCATTAATTTTCGTAAAAAAAAAAGAAAATTCAAAAAAGAATGAACCCTACACATTTCTCTCTTATCACTATTTTTTTCCTTTCTTTTTTTTTAACTAGTAGCGCATCTATCTATATTTGATAGCGCATGCATATGCTTCCTTACGTCTTACCTATTATTAAGGTTGTCTATGTTAAGTCTCATGTCGTGTTATAAATATGAACAAATTGATCATCCCTCGCTCAAGTATTATTGAATTAATCCCAACTTACGTATTATACACCTTATATTATTTGTATGTCCCCAGTGTCATTGTTTTGTAAACCCGCATTCAAATGTTTAAAAGATGGATGGCGTGACGAAGTTTTTTGCATGTCATGCCAAGCTTTTCAGTCTGTTAAATAAAATCCTATATATCTACTCTCCTTTAAAGTATTTACCCTTTACTCCTTTTTGGAACTAAATCGTTGTGGATTGCGGAAAACAGAATAAATGTATTAAAAAAAAAAAAGAAAACTAGCTACAACATCATCAGCCTGTTAATAGGTTGACCGCATTGAACACATACTCATAATATAGAATAAATAAATTGATACTCTATGAGGGATGGATTTGACGATACTCTAAGGAGGCGTTAGTCGATTTACGCATTTTACCCTATAAGTATATGCTCTTTCTAGTTTGTTCGTTGAATTGCCAATAAAGAGTGATTTTTTAATAATACCCATATTCCTTTCTGATTGACCCATGATCCCCCAGCTGCGATGCCAATATCCCCCCGACGAGAAATAGACTCGCCAGCATCTGAATCCCGCCAACAAGCAAAAGTCTCCTCCGTCCACAGCGATCGACGGCGAGAATCGCAACACAGTTGAAAGCAGTAGCAACGACCCTGGTCACCACGGCCGACATGAGCGAGGCGCTCTCCTTAAACCCGATGGTCCTGAAGACGACAGGCGCGTAGAAGTTGACGGCATTGATTCCTGTAACCTGTAGAAAGAAAGGGAGGGCGATGGCGGCGATGAGCTGAGGCCGATGCTTTATGGCTAGCATTTTTCTGAAGGGGTGAGCGGTGGCCTTAGAGGCAGAGCAGGCGGAGACGAGGTCGCTGAGCTCAGCCTGGACGTCGTCGGTGCCTCGCAGTTTTTTGAGGAGTTGGGATGTTTTATCGAGGTCGGAGGAGCGGTGGAGGAGGGAGGAGGGGGTTTCAGGGAGGAAGAGGGAGGAGGCGAGGGCGAGGAAGGAGGCGGGGAGGGCGGCGACGGAGAGGGAGACTCGCCAGTTGGAGGGCGAGTGGAGCTTCTGCGCGGCGTAGTTGATTAGGTTGGCGACGAGGATGCCGAGGCTGAGGGAGAGCTCGAAGAAGTTGTAGAGCGACCCGCGGTGCCGCGGAGGTGCCATTTCTGTGAGGTATAACGGGATTGCCTGCACAGAGAGGGAAAGAAGAAAATTGTGAGCCTGTTACGAGATGGGGGTAACGTGAATGATGCATGCTGATCGAAAATCACGAGGTGGAATGTTCAATTCGAGAGATTGGGGGGTAAATTTGTAAAACACCTCGACGAGGGGGTACATTTAGAAATACGGTACACATGAGGGATATGAACGCAAGAAGACACTTCAATTACTGCCAAAATAATATGCTCGAATTTAAAGTTGATTAGTTCGATTCGTTCCCGACATGAGGCTCAGCCAACTGGTTTCTGCTACAAAGACATTAACCACTTTAATTACAAATGGGCACGGAATTAGATCCTTTCACTATTTAAACGCCGCGGAGTCGGACGACCACATAATTCACTCAGAATCTTGGAATCATCGTATCTTGTTCATTGATATGCCGTCAATCCTCACTTTTGTTAAAGTAACGATGCCTCAATGGAAAATCAAAATTCTAATCGTACGTCCACCGGTTTTGATTACTAAAAAGTACCAATATTCCCATTACTTTTTCCCAAAATGCAGGGAATTACGTACCTGATTAGTGAATCCGATGCCGACACCAAGCAAGACCCGGCCAAGGATTAACATATAGACATTGACGCTGCCGCTCGAGGCACCGAACCAGCCAAGAACATGGGCACCGCCGAGGACCATCGACGACCTCCGCCCGAACGTCCGCGTGACGCACGAAGCAAACAAGGAGGCGACGAGCCCGGCGATGTATAAAGAAGAAGTGAAGGCGGTTAGAAGCTGGCTGTTGAACTTGCAATAGTTGCTAGTGTGAGTGTCTGCTTTCATCTTTTTGTACACGTCCGGGAAAAATTCGTTCAGGAATGTGTCCATAGAAGTCACTCCACCTCAAAAAGAAAAAGGGGGAAAAAAAGGGGAAAAACAAAGATCATAGACAATATTCATAAAAAATGCCTTTTATATTAGCAAGGTTATATGTTATTTTGGTTCTAATCCTATTATTTGTGTTGCATTACAAAGGCTTAATGAAAGGTGATAAACTAGGCTGATTTATTTGGATCCAATTAACCCAAGTGGATTATCATATTTGAGTGATGAGTTCGAGAACCATATATCCCGCCCCATCCCTTTATTAGATCAGGCTTGCGTTTGAACTCTAATTCATGTGAGGAACTTTTAACAATTTACAAGAATTCCCAAAAATTCTTCTGTAACAATGATGTTTTAAACTGGCAAATTATTCTTCTAATTGTCAAGCTATTTAGTTTTCACTGAAACATCGTGTATATTGAAAGTCTACATATCAAGTTACGTTTTGTTGAAATTGAAACATAGTAAGGATTGGTTACGTAGAAGTACACTCCCAATCCTAGGGTGTACTCCTGCAATATCAATTTCCTATAATTTATCTAAAAAAAGATGAGAATAATTCAATGAAAAATGTATCCCAAGTAATCAAAACATTTATTTTCTCAGTATATATATATATATATATAAACGATGGTCACAACTAAACAATAATGTATCCCAAGTAATCAAAACATTTATTTTCTCAGTATATATATATATATATATAAACGATGGTCACAACTAAACAATAATGTATCCCAAGTAATCAAAACATTTATTTTCTCAGTAACCGGGACAAGACGCCGGAAAGAGTCTATTAGCTAAAACACAACAACATGCATTTGATAAAACAATCTTTTAACAGTGTACCTGAGATTCCAAGATCATAGCCGAAGAGAAAACCGCCGGATGCTGCAACCAGACAAGAGAGGAGAACAAAAACTGTTACCCTTCCGTTGTAGTTTCGGGTCGGGTCCTCATTGCCAACAACTCCGATAGCCATGTTACCCAAAGGAATGGACTCGGAAGCTTAGCTAATTTGGTGGTCTTATTTGTAGTGACTCAAGGAAAGGGAATTAAGCTAATAAACTTTATTCAAGTATTGTTCGTGAGAGGGACAATGATATGAATGTTGGGACAAACTCGGGGGCCAATAGAGCAAGGTCGCAGCAATAGTAGAGCAAAAGTAGAGATAAAATATTAGACACACAGATTTACATGGTTCGGCACTTGATTGCCTATGTCCACGGGAAAGGATAGAAGAATTCACTATGAGGAGAAAACTCTGGAGTTACAAACTCTTTCTCTTTACAAGGAGAAACTCTCTCTATTTTTTCTCTCTCACTCTTCTATATAAGAAATTGTTTCTGGGATGAGATTTTCTTAAGGATTTGGAGCCCTATTTATAGTTTTTAGAAAAATACTATACATAATAAAAAATTAATATTTTACTGTAGCAGTGGGCCCCACCATTTGTTTTCTTTTCAAAACTTCAAAGATGGCTGCTGCTTTCGGTGATTTGAAGTGAGGTGGGGCCTGCTCCAATTAATTTTCAACAATTGAGGCTGAAGCTGCATGCTGACAATCTCCCACTTGAAGATTTGATTGAGTATCAATCATATCTTCACATCATTCTTTCTATCTTGCCATCTTCATGTTGCTTACGTCTCAGACAGACCACAGGAGGATTGACACCAAATGAATTTGTCAGTATTGACTGTTTTTGTCAAAAAATCTGCTAGGTTATCTTTGGTGTGAATTTTCTGCATATCCATTGTTCCTTCTTCCACTTTCTTACGAACGAAGTAATTCTGAACTCGAATCTACTTGGTCTTTGAATGAAAGGCTGGATTTCTTGCCAAATGCAAAGCACTCTGACTGTCACAAAATAGAAAAATCTTCTTTTGTTCATAGCCGAGTTCCTCCAGCACCATCTTCAACCACATCGCTTTTTTACTAGCTTGTGTAGCTGCTACATACTCTGCTTCTGTTGTTGAAGTAGCCACAACTGACTGCAGTTTTGAAACCCAGCTTACAGCTCCGCCAGCAAGTGCAAACACATAACCTGTGGTGGATTTGCTATTATCACGATCACCTGCATAATCAGAATCAACATATCCACTGACAATAAAATCAGATCCCCCATAACATAATGCAACATTTGAGGTTCCTTGAATGTATCTTATCTTTACAGCATTCCAATGCTCTTTACCGGGATTCGCCATGTATCGACTAACCACTCCCACTGCTTGTGCAATGTCTGGTCTTGTACAAATCATCGCGAACATTAAGCTTCCCACTGCTGATGCATACGGTACTCGAGACATCTCCATCCTCTTTTCTTCACTGCTAGGACTCATACTGGAGGATAACTTGAAATTAACAGGAAGTGTGGTAGAAATTGACTTACAATCTTGCAAGTTAAAACGCCGTAAGATTTTCTTCAAATAGTTCTTCTGAGAAAGCCAAATCTTCCTATTAACTCTGTCTCGGTAAATTTGCATCCCTAGAATCTTGTTTGCAGATCCTAAATCCTTCATTTCAAATCCCTAGCCAAACTGAGCCTTTAATTCTTGGATACGATCTTTGTTGGGGCCTGCAACCAACATGTCGTCAACATACAACAATAGGATAACAAAGTTATTTTCACCAAACCTCTTGAAATATGCACAATGGTCTGAATTAAGTCTGTTGTATCCAAGGCTCATGATGAATGAATCAAATCTCTTATACCAACACCTCGGCGCCTACTTTAGACCGTACAGAGATTTGTTCAATCTGCAAACCAAGTTCTCTTTTTTCTTTTTCTTCAAAACCTTCTGGTTGGAGCATGTAAATTTCTTCTTCAAGATCTCCATGAAGAAATGCTGTTTTCACATCTAGCTGCTCTAGATGTAAGTCAAATATAGCGCTCATAGCCAGGACTATTCGGACCGTTGTTAGTCGAACTACAGGAGAAAATATTTCATTAAAATCAATACATTCTTTCTGAGCATGTTATTTTACCACCAATCTAGCACGATATCGCTCCACCTGATCATCGCCGTTTCGCTTGATCTTGTAGACCCATTTGTTTCCAATGGTCTTTCTTCCTTGTGGCAGTGACACAAGTTCCCAAGTCTTGTTCTTATGGAGAGCTTCAATTTCTTCCTGCATTGCTGCCATCCACAAAGATGCATCTGTGATATTTATAGCTTCATGAAAAGTTGATGGCTCTCCATCTTCTGTTAGAAGACAGTATGCAACATTACTTTCCGTAATATACTCCAAGTGCCAAGTCGGTGGTCTTCTCTCACGAGTTGACCTTCGAACTTCTGGAGCCTCGGACTCGACCGGTTCTTGTACATCATGCTCCGGTGTTGCTTCAGAAGAATTCAGATTATCTTCTACCTGAACAACTACAGTCTCTGAATCCTTCCTCGAACTGTTTTCTTTCTCTTCACTTTGTAGTTGGTTCTCTACAAAGATAACATCTCTGCTGATGATAACCTTGTGGGCAGTGGGATTCCACAGGTGATACCCCTTTACTCCATCAGCATACCCCAAGAATATGCATTTTCTGGATTTTGAATCCAGCTTTGTAATTTCTTGGACATTGTACATTACGTACACTGGACATCCAAATATATGGAGGTTGGAATAATCAGCTGGCTTGTCAGTCCACATCTCCATTGGCGTCTTTAATTGTATTGCAGTTGATGGAGATCGATTCACCACATAGCAAGCGGTTTTTACCAACATCTCCTGGAGTAATCATCAATAAAGGACACAAAGTACTTTGCTCCTCCTAAGGATGTAACTGGTGCTTGCCATACATCAGAATGAACCAGTTCCAGAATAGCCTTGCTTCTAGAACTCGATGTGTTGAACTTCAGTCGATGTTGCTTGCTTGTAACACAATGCTCGCAGAATGGAAGAGCTACCGAATTAAGTCCAGGAAGCAGTTTCTGATCGGAGAGAACCTTCAAGCCTCGTTCTGACATGTGGCCTAGCTTGCGATGCCACATCATGGTTTGTTCTTCTCCATGGCTGGTTGATGCCACACATGAATCAGCTTACTACAGAGTCTCTCTCCCTTGAGCATATACAGATTTGCAGCTATCTTTTCTCCTTTTATCACCACAAGCGTCCCTCTAACAATCTTCATGACTCCATTTTCTATATGAGTCTTGCACCCGAGCTCATCTAATTGTCCCAAAGACAATAGATTATTCTTCAAGCCCTTCACATGTCGCACATCTTGAATGGTGCGTATTATACCATCAAACATTTTGATTTTGATAGTATCAATACCACAAATCTCCAAGGCATGATCATTCCCCATGAATACAGATCCTCCTGAGATAGGTTCATATTTGTGAAACCAATCTCTCCGAGAGGTCATGTGCCAAGAGGCTACTGAATCTAGAAGCCAGACATCAGCAAACTTCTTTCTGCCTTCATCAACAGTTGTTGCTCCACTGAACAGAATTTCACCATCCTATGACGTGCTGACAACGCATCCTTGAGATGTTGATGGCTCTGAAGACTTTTTATCTCCACTCTTCTTGTTGTGCCAACACTCCGATTTGACGTGCCCTCTTTTGCCATAGTTGTAGCATTTGATATTCTTCTTACTTCGTGATTTCGATCTACCATGGGCATGACTCCCACTGGAGCCACGTTCTGTTGATCTTCCTCTCGTCACCGACAAGGCCTCCGCTTGCTGTGACTGCCTGTCTTCCTTGTTCTTGCGCCGATTTTCTTCCTCCAGAACAGCGGCTGCAACGTCGTTGAAAATTAGATAGTCCGTGAGGGCGTTGTTTGTCAGGTTAATGATGAGTTGATCATACGAGTCAGGTAGACTCTGAAGTAGAAGTTCTGCACGTTCATTTGCACCAACTGTATACCCCAACGTTGTGAGTTGGGAGAACAGTGTGTTTAGGGTGTTGATGTGGTCGGTCATCGATGTAGATTCTGCCATCCTCAGAGTGTAAAGTCTCCTTTTTAAGAAGATTTTATTGTGATCGCTTTGTTAGAGTATCCCAGATCTTCTTTGCTGTCTTCTTCTCCTCTATGCTTGACAGCACCCCGTCTGCTAATGCCAGATGGAGATTTGCAATAGCATTTTCATCCATCTCGTTCCACTTCTTATCATCTGTGATGTCGTCCGGCCTTGCACCGATGGCCGCCAGACAATTATCTTTTCTCAAGATAGCCTTTATCTTCAACTTTCACAGTGAGAAATTACTCCCGTCGAATTTCTCAATATTGAACTTCGCCGCCATTGCTTCTACCACGAACAATAACTTCTTACTATTTCACGTAAATAGTACTATATTTATGAACAGTAACTGTATCCGTGAATAGTACCGTACTTATGAATAGTACCATATTTGTGAACAGTACCGTACTCGTGAATAGTACCCGTCACCTCCAAAGGGTAAGTGATAACCTAACTTATTTTCTGATGTGGAGGATCCACCTTTGGTGGCAGCCACATAGCATACGATAAGTAGATATATACAAGTACCCTAAGTTGGCTCTGATACCACTTATTGGGACAAACCCGGGGGCCAATAGAGCAGGGTCGCAGCAATAGTAGAGCAAAAGTAGAGATAAAATATTGGACACACAGATTTACTTGGTTCGGCACTTGATTGCCTACGTCCACGAGCAAGGATAGAAGAATTCACTATGAAGAAAAAACTCTGGAGTTACAAACTCTCTCTCTTTACAAGGAGAAACTCTCTCTATTTTTTCTCTCTCACTCTTCTATATAAGAAGTTGTTTCTGAGATGAGATTTTCTTAAGGATTTGGAGCCCTATTTATAGTTTTTAGAAAAATACTATGCACAATAAAATATTAATATTTTACTGTAGCAGTGGGCCCCGCTATTTTGTTTTCTTTTCAAAACTTCAAAGATGGCTGCTGCTTTCGGTGATTTGAAGTGAGGTGGGGCCCGCTCCAATTAATTTTCAACAATTGAGGCTGATGCTGCATGCTGACAATGAACGACTTAGGTGTAAAGTACACTGGTAGGTTTGGATCATC